ACCGCTCTCTGTATACTGCCCACGGATGTATCACCACTCTCTGTATACTCACCTCGGATGTATCACCACTCTCTATAAACACACCGCGGATGTATCACCACTCTCTGTATACACACCACGGTGCATAACCACTTTCTGTATACTGCCCACGGATGTATCACCACTCTCTGTATACTCACAACGGATGTATCACCACTCTCTGTATACTCACACCAAGCACATCACCACTCTCTGTATACTCACAACGGATGTATCACCACTCTCTGTAAACTCACAACCAACACATCACCGCTCTCTGTATACTCACACCCAACACATCACCGCTCTCTGTATACTCACAACGGATGTATCACCACCGCTCTCTCTGTATACTGTATACTGCAAACCCAACACATCACCGCTCACACTCACACCCAACACATCACCACTCTCTCTGTATCACCACTCTCTCACACACGCATGTATCACCGCTCTCTGTATACTCACAACGGATGTATCACCATTCTCTGTATACTCAAACCCAACACATCACCGCTCTCTGTATACTCAAACCCAACACATCACCGCTCTCTGTATACTCACACCCAACACATCACCGCTCTCTGTATACTCACCACGGATGCATCACCGCTCTCTGTATACTGCCCACGGATGTATCACCACTCTCTGTATACACACCACGGATGTATCACCACTCTCTGTATACTCACACCCAGCACATCACCGCTCTCTGTATACTCACAACGGATGTATCACCACTCTCTGTATACTCACACCCAGCACATCACCGCTCTCTGTATACTCACAACGGATGTATCACCATTCTCTGTATACTCAAACCCAACACATCACCGCTCTCTGTATACTCACACCCAACACATCACCGCTCTCTGTATACTCACCACGGATGTATCACCACTCTCTGTATACTGTCCACGGATGTATCACCGCTGTCTGTAAACTCACAACTAACACATCACCGCTCTCTGTATACTCACACCAAACACATCACCGCTCTCTGTATACTCACAACGGATGTATCACCGCTCTCTGTAAACTCACAAACAAAACACCGCTCTCTGTATACTCACACACAACACATCACCGCTCTCTGGATACTCACAACATATGTATCACCACTCTCTGCATACTCACACACAACACATCACCGCTCTCTGTAAACTCACAACGGATGTATCACCTCTCTCTGTATACTGCCCACGGATGTATCACCACTCTCTGAATACACACTAGGGATGTATCACCTCTCTCTGTATACTGCCCACGGATTTATCACCACTCTCTGTATACACACCACTGATGTATCATCTCTCTCTGTATACTGCACACGGATGTATCACCGCTCTCTGTATACTGCCCACGGATGTATCACCACTGTCTGTATACACACCACGGATGTATCACCACTCTCTGTATACACACACCCAGCACATCACCGCTCTCTGTATACTCACAACGGATGTATCACCATTCTCTGTATACTCAAACCCAACACATCACCGCTCTCTGTATTCTCACACCCAACACATCACCGCTCTCTGTATACTCACCACGGATGTATCACCATTCTCAGTATACTACCCACGGATGTATCACCGCTATCTGTAAGATCACACACAACACATCACCGCTCTTTGTATACTCACACACAATACATCACCGCTCTCTGTATACACACACCGGGCGTATCACTACTCTCTGTATACACATCATGGATGTATCATCACTCTCTGTATACTCACACAGAGCGTATCATCATTCATTCTATAATCACAACGGGTGTATCACCACTCTCTGTATACTCACACCGGATGTATCATCACTCTCTCTGTACTCACATCGGACATATCATTATCACTCTTTGTAACTCACATCGGGCCTATCATTACTCTATGTATACTCACACCGGGAGCATCACCCGTCTCTTTATTCTCACATAAGGCATACTATTAATCCTTTTATACTCACACCGGGCGTATCACTACTCTCTGTATACACATCACGGATGTATCACCGCTCTCTGTATACTCACATCGGGCGTATCACTACTCTCTGTATACACATCACGGATGTATCACCACTCTCTGTATACTCACACCGGGCGTATCACTACTCTCTGTATACTCACCATGGATGAATCACCACTCTCTGTATACACACCACGGATGTATCACCACTCTCTGTATACACACCGCGGATGTATCACCACTCTCTGCATACTCACACCTGGCGTATCACTACTCTCTGTATACTCACGACGGATATATCACCATTCTCTGTATACTCACACCGGGCGTATCACTACTCTCTGTATACACATCACGGATGTATCATCACTCTCTCTGTACTCACATCGGACATATCATTATCACTCTTTGTAACTCACATCGGGCGTATCATCACTCTCTGTATACTGCCCACGGATGTATCACCTCTCTTTGTATACACACCACGGATGTATCACCACTCTCTGTATACACACCACGGATGTATCACCACTCTCTGTCTACACACCACGGATGTATCACCACTCTGTATACTCACAACCAGCACATCACCGCTCTCTGTATACTCACAACGGATGTATCACCATTCTCTGTATACTCACACCGGGCGTATCACTACTCTCTGTATACACATCACGGATATATCATCACTCTCTCTGTACTCACATCGGACATATCATTATCACTCTTTGTAACTGACATCGGGCGTATCACCACTCTCTGTATACACACCACGGATGTATCACCACTCTCTGTATACTCACACCCAGCACATCACCGCTCTCTGTATATTCACAACGGATGTATCACCACTCTCTCTGTACTCACATCGGACATGTCATTATCACTCTTTGTAACTCACATCGGGCGTATCATCACTCTCTGTATACACACCACGGTGCATAACCACTTTCTGTATACAGCCCACGGATGTATCACCGCTCTCTGTATACTGCCCACGGATGTATCACCACTCTCTGTATACACACCACGGATGTATCACCACTCTCTGTATACTCACACCCAGCACATCACCGCTCTCTGTATACTCACAACGGATGTATCACCACTCTCTGTATACTCAAACCCAACACATCACAGCTCTCTGTATACTCACACCCAACACATCACCGCTCTCTGTATACTCACCACGGATGTATCACCGCTCTCTGTATACTGCCCACGGATGTATCACCACTCTCTGTATACACACCACGGATGTATCACCACTCTCTGTATACTCACACCCAGCACATCACCGCTCTCTGTATACTCACACTCACAACGGATGTATCACCACTCTCTGTATACTCACACCCAGCACATCACCGCTCTCTGTATACTCACAACGGATGTATCACCATTCTCTGTATACTCAAACCCAACACATCACCGCTCTCTGTATACTCACACCCAACACATCACCGCTCTCTGTATACTCACCACGGATGTATCACCACTCTCTGTATACTGTCCACGGATGTATCACCGCTGTCTGTAAACTCACAACTAACACATCACCGCTCTCTGTATACTCACACCCAACACATCACCGCTCTCTGTATACTCACAACGGATGTATCACCGCTCTCTGTAAACTCACAAACAAAACACCGCTCTCTGTATACTCACACACAACACATCACCGCTCTCTGTATACTCACAACATATGTATCACCACTCTCTGCATACTCACACACAACACATCACCGCTCTCTGTAAACTCACAACGGATGTATCACCTCTCTCTGTATACTGCCCACGGATGTATCACCACTCTCTGTATACACACCAGGGATGTATCACCTCTCTCTGTATACTGCCCACGGATATATCACCACTCTCTGTATACACACCACGGATGTATCATCTCTCTCTGCATACTGCCCACGGATGTATCACCGCTCTCTGTATACTGCCCACGGATGTATCACCACTGTCTGTATACACACCACGGATGTATCACCACTCTCTGTATACACACACCCAGCACATCACCGCTCTCTGTATACTCACAACGGATGTATCACCATTCTCTGTATACTCAAACCCAACAAATCACCGCTCTCTGTATTCTCACACCCAACACATCACCGCTCTCTGTATACTCACCACGGATGTATCACCACTCTCTGTATACTGCCCACGGATGTATCACCGCTCTCTGTAAACTCACAAACAAAACACCGCTCTCTGTATACTCACCACGGATGTATCACCATTTTCAGTATACTACCCACGGATGTATCACCGCTATCTGTAAGCTCACACACAACACATTGCCGCTCTTTGTATACTCACACACAATACATCACCGCTCTCTGTATACTCGCACCGGGCGTATCACTACTCTCTGTATACACATCATGGATGTATCATCACTCTCTGTATACTCACACAGAGCGTATCATCATTCATTCTATAATCACAACGGGTGTATCACCACTCTCTGTATACTCACACCGGATGTATCATCACTCTCTCTGTACTCACATCGGACATATCATTATCACTCTTTGTAACTCACATCGGGCCTATCATTACTCTATGTATACCCACACCGGGAGCATCACCCGTCTCTTTATTCTCACACCAGACATACTATTAATCCTTCTATGCTCACACCGGGCGTATCACTACTCTCTGTATACACATCACGGATGTATCACCGCTCTCTGTATACTCACACCGGGCGTATCACTACTCTTTGTATACACATCACTGATGTATCACCACTCTCTGTATACTCACACAGAGCGTATCATCATTCATTCTATACTCACAACGGGTGTATCACCACTCTCTGTATACTCACACCGGATGTATCATCACTCTCTCTGTACTCACATCGGACATATCATTATCACTCTTTGTATCTCACATCGGGCCTATCATTACTCTATGTATACTCACACCGGGAGCATCACCCGTCTCTTTATTCTCACACCAGACATACTATTAATCCTTTTATACTCACACCGGGCGGATCATCATACGTGAAGCCTTTAAACCGATTCTGTCAGTTGTTGGGAAATTCTTCCAGTTTATTGAGTTTGTAATGTATCCTACACCATATATACCGTTCAAATAGACTTGATAACACGCAGAGAACCACCACCCACCTTTAAATTTACTTGAACACCGCTTGTTTCCAAGTCGATCATCATTATCTTTGTCTCGTGTTGAAAATTTGAAATTGTTGTGGTGTTGAAAAGAATTGGGGATATTTCCGCTAAACTCAGATATTTTCAAACTGTAAAAATCGGCCTCGGATAAAATAGTGAAACTATTGTATTCTGCATATCCCTGATCACCAGACGCCTGAGTTAACTCTATACGGAGTTTATACCTTTGTGAAACCGTCAACAAGTGCATGTTCTCGTTTCCAATCCAATATTCTCCATGTGGTTTCCCAAAACCGTCTCTGTAGTCATCCCAGTACAAATTAAAGTCCTGACTCCCATCAAATCGGTTCTGCAGAACCGTCCATCCTCCACCAACAGAGTCCATGTTACAGAATACCATTTTCCTGACCTGTTCACTGATCTTTACCCTGTAAACTCCAGAGGGATGTCCCGGAGGAAGACTGTGACATGATTCTACATCAGTATATAAAACGAACGATTTGTTGGAAATGGAGGTATGAGACAGAAATCTACAGGTCAATTTGTCCGAGTCAAAATCAAAAGCCTCACAGTCCGACCTGTGACAGAGGATGGCACACTTCGGCATTGATGGCACGTTTGACATCACCTTCTTGATATTGTTGGTCGACATTGATATATCAGACTCGTGGTTTTTTGTTAAAAGACGTGTAAATCGTGATGATTTTCCTTCACAGACAAAACATGTTAGATGGAACGCAACAAAGGCTGTTGTTATCGCTGACTGCATCGTAATCCAGGCGGTGTGCAGTTTTCTAACAATTTGAAGGGAAAGTCTTAGACCTGTGTTCGGGAAGTCCGCACGGTAAGGTATTGAAGTCAGTTGTTAATTATATTGATGACAGGCAATTATCGATTACCACAGTAGCACGTGAACAGATGATTGATAATTTATCAGTTAACAAACTCTAATTAACCGATTCATTAGATTTTTGTCACGCCTATTATGTATTTGTTCAGGCGTACAATCTTTCGTGTTGGAAACTGATTCGGATTTTTAGAAACAACTTTTGATTTATTATTCTATCTATGACTCCACAACACAAGGTATTGTAAATGATATATGATTGGGTGCCTCCTGTCTACTAAACACTGGTTATACTGGAAGACAATCTGCCTCTACAAAACACTGACTAGGTGTTTATAAGTTGCAACCCTAAAGAAGATAAGCCTAAACATTTCTTTCGAAATTGGCGACCTGTTACAGTGATATGTATCGTACAATTAAATCTGGAACTAAATCAAGGAGAATAAAAAACTAGATAGAAATGCTTCATGCTAATGTTAGTGCAGTTTTCAGTCACGGTGAGAATCTGTTCTCATTCTTTGACGTAAGACGAAGCAACCCCACTTCCTTTTATCCCTTCTTCCATTTTGTATTAAAATGTTGGGTATTAGACAGAGACAATTGAAAATATCAAGGGTTTGATCTTAAGTAATATTCCATTTGATATTAGACTTTGAAACTCTTTTGAAATATATGTTGTAGTATTGAATGTTTACCCAAAATTCTGACTTCATTAAAACATTGACAAAACACAAGTAATTTGGATAGAGAGTAAAAAGATACTAAAACTACCATTGGATAGGTCAAATTTACATTCCTTGGAGTTGAATTCATCGTCAATCTAAATGAAATTCCCAATTCAAACTATGACTAAAATACTGACATCCATCATTAACACATGACGTAGACAACTTACTCTTCTTATCATATCCAATTTCATATGTTATCTTCAATCAAGCATTCATTGATATCTTTAATACCGATGAACATTTCTTGGGATGTAAAAATAAAGAAATATCTTGAAAACTCTATGTGTTTAAAAAGAGTTAGTTGGAATCGGATGATAGAGTTGTGAGTATCGTAAATGAGCTGTAAAACGACTTTGCGTTACATTCAAGATTTTGATTAAATCTATGGTGTAAATGCAAAACACACATTTAGCAAGATCTGAATACGATGTATAATATACAACGTAAGATATACAGCTTTTCTCTCCAAAATTCACAATCTGCAAATAATAAAATGATAATAATAATAATGGTATCTAGATATTAGTTTACACATCTGTACGAGCTCTCATATCAAATCGCTGAATTGGCTGGTAAATAAAAGTTGTGGTATTTCTAACATTTCAGCTTTTGAAAGAACCTATAAGTGACAGACATATGACGGTGCTTGCTAAACAATTGTTTTTTCGGTGATAAATGGAGAAAATAGAAAAGATTGTTGGAATTATCCGATATTAAGCTTATATATTAAGTATGAGATATTTAATTATATTTCAACTGCATATTTTTCTCTTGACACTGAGGAAAAGCATATCTTCTTTTATTTACTTTTACAATATATCTTAGGATGTATGACCAGGAGTGGGTGTGTCAGGGTTGTACTGGTGTATGTCCATGAGCGGGTGTGGCCAGGAGTTGTTATGTAGGGGTTGTACGGGTGTACGACCAGTAGTAGGTGTGTGAGGGTTGTACTGATGTACGGCCAGAATTGGGTGTATGGGTTGCACTGGTGTACGGCCAGGAGTGGGTATGTAAGGGTTGTACTGGTGTACGACCACGAGTGGGTGCGTGAGGGTTGTAATGATGTACGACCAGGAGTGTGTGTGTAAGGGTTGTACTAGTGTATGACCATGAGTAGGTATGTGAGGGTTGTATTGGCATATGACCAGGAGAGGGTATGAAAAGGGTGTACTGGTGTACGACATATAGTGGGTGTGTGAGTGTTTTACTGGTGTACGACCAGAAGTGGGTATGAAGGGGTTGTACTGATGTACTACCAGAATTTGGTGTATGGGTTGCACTGGTGTACGACCAGGAGTGGGTGTATGGGTTGTACTGGTGTACGACCAAGGGTGGGTGTGTACGTGGTGTACTGGTTTAAGACCTGGAGTGGGTATTTAAGGGTTGTAATGGTGTACGACCAGGAGTGTGTATGTAAGGGGTGTACTAGTGTACGGCCAGGAGTGGGTATGTAGGGGGTGTACTGGTGTACGGCCAGGAATGGGTGTGTCCTTTTTTTCACATATATAGCTAGATAGATTTGCAAGTGTTCGTGCAGCCCCGATTGAGACATGATATGTTTTGTGTCGTTATAAGCCGGACATAATCTGAGATCTGTGTAAACTATACATTCAGTAGAAAATTATTGTACTACAATAAAAATAATTGTAATCCAGGCAGAAATGTTTGTGAAGTACATGCATACTTGTGCATTTACCCAATACTCTACATACAATCTATGATCCAGTGACCTATCTGTTCTGGATTTCCAGATGCGCTAAACGGTTTGGCTAAGACAATGCCCACCAATGTCGCCTGTTTAAACTGACCAACGGAGAGATATTTTGATGCTGACAATAGTTTTTAAGTCATTAGAATAAGTTCCTAATAGGTACAGAATACCCGGAAATTTTCCAACTTAGACGGACTATTCCTTTAATACTGTTTATCTTGGGAAGACAGTGGCACTTTAACATTACATATTCTGCAGGAAAAACTGCCAATTTAGTCATGTTTGTATTAGACGAATTCTGTCCATTAAACACAGTGTTGATACTGAAAGCGTTCTGTCCTTTTAACAATGTTTATATCGAGAAAAATTATATTCCCTTAGTATAGTATCTATTGAGAGACTGATTCATGAACTAGAGTAGGTATTAAACGACAGGAATAAATTCCTTTTTAGTATAAGATACCGCCTACATGATCAAAATATTGAAGTTATAACTCTAGAAAACATTGAAATTGAAAAGACGTTGGTATGTCAACGGATGAAAATTGAGATTTTCGATCCCACATTCAAAGCAAAGCAAACTCGAATCATCATCATCAAGTCATTTACATATATACTGAACCCCATAAAAACGCAAGTACATTTACACGTGAAAATTTCTAGTTGTGACCTTTTATATACTACTGCTGATATCAATAATATAAAGTTGTGAGAGCAAATGATGAAATGGTGTATTTTTTATTCACTCCCGATATTGTTCCCACATGCACAATGCGTAAAATTGTGAATTCTGCACGTGCAATCACGAAAGTTGCTTATACACGTGAGTTTTCACCGATACGTACCCTTTATAAAGTGGTCCGTCCCAAAAATTTCATTTAGTGAAGGTAACGTAAATAATGCTCATTAAACACGATGCCACGATTAATAAAATTGCAAAGAAGAATGGCTCTTGGAAGTTTGCAGTCGGGTTCCTCTGCCACTATGGTAGTCAGGTGCTTGGGATGTCATGGTAGCACTATCACCAGGCTTGCTGGATGCTTCCAACATATGGGTTCTGTTTCTGATCTTCCCCAGACGAGCAGACCAAGGGTGACAACTCGGGCCCAAGATCGCTACATCCGGGTAAGTCCCCATCGTAACCGGGCCCAGCCTGCAACCAAAACAGTAGCTGCCATCAAAGATAGAAGACCCCTAGTGACCGTAGAGACCACCCGGAACATGGCTGCCATTAACTGCCAACGTCCTTACGCAGAGTCTATTCTCACTCAACGCCATCGACAGCAATGTCTTCAATGGGCAAGAACTCATGAAAGATATTGTCTTGTTGACTGGCGACGAGTTTTCTTCTCAGACGAGGGCCGATTGCGTATGTGGCGTTGACGTTACGAACGTTACGCCGATTGCTGTGTCCTCCAGGCTAACAGATGGCACATTGCCATCGTGGCTTATTTCATGGCGAATACCTCACTTCCTTACAATTGTATATCAAAGGGGATATAACATCCAATAGAACCGTGCAAACCAAGTAGTGGACAAATACACAAAAAATATTGTTGTATCGACCTGAGGTCCTGTTATTGTGGGTAGTTAATGAAATTGACGGTATTTTTCAGATCATAAAATGAAATGCTTCGTCGACTTGTTATTTCAACCAAAACAGTTTCTATCACGCGACATTGCTTTCTTTCAACTTATCGACTTGAATTAAATATTTACCTAAAAGACAGGTTTATGAACTATGAAATAGTATTGATATGGAAATTCCCAACACAACTTTGGCTCAAGATAGTTCAAAACCAGGGATATAGAATCAATTCCGTCTAAAGTGTTTCTTTACAGAGGCTAGAAACATCTAAGATTATTAATAAGCAGTACAAACATGGAATTAAAAAAATGAAATGATATGGAGAATTCAAGAACGAATGGTAATCTGATAGTACGATGATTAACTAGAACAGTGATTAGTATAAGGTAATTGAGTGTAAGTGTAGAACAGTGATTAGTATAAGGTAATTGAGTGTAAGTGTAGAACAGCGATAAGTGTAAGGTAATTGAGTGTAAGTGTAGAACATTGATTAGTATAAGGTAATTGAGTGTAAGTGTAGAACAGCGATAAGTATAAGGTAATTGAGTGTAAGTGTAGAACAGTGATAAGTGTAAGGTAATTGAGTGTAAGTGTAGAACAGTGATAAGTGTAAGGTAATTGAGTGTAAGTGTAGAGCAGTGATAAGTGTAAGGTAATTGAGTGTAAGTGTAGAACATTGATTAGTATAAGGTAATTGAGTGTAAGTGTAGAACAGCGATAAGTATAAGGTAATTGAGTGTAAGTGTAGAACAGCGATAAGTGTAAGGTAATTGAGTGTAAGTGTACAGCAGTGATAAATGTAAGGTAATTGAGTGTAAGTGCAGAACAGTAATAAGTGTAAGGTAATTGAGTGTAAGTGTAGAATAGTAATAAGTGTAAGGTATTGAGTGTAAGT